CATTCTACTCCAAATTTTTTAGGCTTAGATCAAGAGCTTCTGGCAGTAAACAATGCAATGGGATCCGTTGCACCATTTCCAACAGCTATTTTCTGAGTTTCATCTTGCAAAATCATTGCATAAGCTTGATTGACATTTGGAATATGAGATTACATCAGAATTTGACTTCTAGCATGAGCATAATCATCATTAAGACCCATGAGAAACTGTAGGAGCCTCTGATATTGAAGATGTGTTGCATAATCCTTGGATTTGACACAATCGTAGCAAGGAGGAGGCATCCACGAGTCATATTCATCCCAGAGATCCTTCAACTTAGGGCCCGTTTGGATGGGCTTAATAAAAGCAGCTTTAAAAAAAGTACTTTTTAAAGTGTTGAAACTTATTTTTAAAATAAGCAGTTATGCGTTTGGATAAAAGTGCTAAAGTTAAAAAAAAGTTGTTAATGTGTTTGGCAAATAAGTGCTGATAAACAACTTTTTAAATGAAATGGTCTGAAATACCCTTAAAAGTTGTTAACATAATAAAAGTTAATTAATTTATATTTTACAGCCATAAATAATTATATTTTGCTATCATTCACATATTTCTTTCTCATCACAAATTATTTATAAGAGAAATATAAACTTATTATAGATTTTAAAGATATATAATTTGAATAGACCAAAGAACAATTTAAGATTTTATTTTAGTTTCATTCATAGGTAATAATAATAGTCTATCATTCAAATATTTCTTTATTATCACAAATTATTTATAAGAGGAATATAAATTTTTATTTAAGTTATATGTGCAACTTATTTTACATTTTAATAATATATAATTTGAATAGATCACTTGAAAGATTTAAGATTTATGTTATTTTCATTCATTAGTAATAGTAATTGTCTATCATCCACACGTGAGAAGGGAAAAATAGAAGAGATGTTAGAGTTATGTGGGTAATTTGGAGATTGTATAAAAATATTAAGGGTAAAAGGATAAAAATTTGGTCAACTTAAAACAGCTTATAAGCTAAAAAAAAAAGCACTCCTACCACAACTTTTAACTTTTGGCTTAAAATAATTTTTTTAAACTTAAAATAAGTTATTTTGAGGATTGTCAAACAGCTAAATAAGTCAAAAACCAGCTTTTAAGCTGAGCCAAACAGGCTCTTAATTAGAGTAGTAGGTAGAAACAGGAAGTGTTCCTTGTGCCAAAGTGGAAAATTGATTTAAGGAAAACATACACGATGCAGTAACTTTATCAATCCTTTCACGCAGATCCTCCCAAATTGCATGAGCACTGATCGAAACAACACTCCATTGATTAGGTCACGACTCATATTGTGCATGATCCATGATTTGACTATAGCATTACAACGATCCCATAACAACGCATAGTCCTTTCCAAAAGTATCTCTGCTAATAGAGTCATCCACAAAACCAAGTTTATTACGAGTTAACAGATATAATTGCATTACTTCACGCCACAGAGAGTAATTCTCCATGCCAATTAAAGGCATCCGTATAGACATTGAGCTAGGCGCATCGGAGGTGTGTAGAAACAAAGGATGATGGTAATCAGTACCTTGAAGAAACCTTACCCCAGAACAAGAACCAGGTTCTTGTAAGTTGCTTTTATATAAAGACACAAACACTTATTGAATTAAAAACCTTCCTTACTCAAGGAAGGAAAAACCTTGTTTTATTAATTTCAATTATAAGATTTTGTGATTACAACTCAATAATCAAAAGTCTTATCTCTACTACCTCTTCGATTGACTCCAATCGATCTCTCCAAAAGGCCAAACCCATCTTTTGTTACACCTCTTACTAACACTCAACCCTACAAAGAGCCAAACTCACCCTTTGTACAATAAACTGTAAATTACAATCAAAACAAAAACAAGACAAATAGTTCTACACGATAAAACCTTCTCACTCAAGAATGTTTTAAACGTAGCAATCCTATCACCCTTGAAGACTTCAATTTGATGAATAGTTCTCCCTTGTTCTCTGCGTGAAGTCGTGTTGTTTTCCTCTGCCTCGTGCTCTTCTTATAGAGTTTTTGCCTTGTACAATCCTTGCTGATAAGGTAAGAAAGTTATATTTAAACAATGATTCTTTTTTAAATTAGAATCCTTATTATGCACAACTTCCTTCCTTAATAATATATTTAAGGTTTTCCTTATTTGTATTAACTTGTACCTTTAATATATTATTTTGTCTTTGACAAATAACTCTATTTTACATAATCTTGGACTCTAGCTTGACTTCTTTTGCTGTGTACATTTGCTAATGTTCTTTGCGCTTTTTGTCTATCATCAAAATGAATTATCGATTCTATCACATTCTATCATATTTCCCTTTTTTTTATGAAGAGAAACGTGTAACGTGTGATGCATGCGCAAATAACTCTTCCCCCTTTTGACGAATCAAAAAGAAACCAACAGCAGCTAATCAACACTAATCAATATCCATAGCAACAAAATACGCCTAGCCAGTTTAGCAATATAAATTGTTCTGGCAACAAAACAAAGAGCAACAAAACAGAGTGAAACCAACTAAGAGAACCAGGTTCAAACAACATGCGTCACTGTGGAGGTTGACAAGGCTTAGTTGAAACAGAAGCCAACATATCCAAAACTCTGTCAACTCTTGCATTGTTAGCAAGTTGCTGCTGCACCAACTGATCCTTCAACCTGTGTATTTCAGCATTTGATGAATCAAGCTCAGCACGTAACTTCTGGTTGTCTGATTCAAGAGAGGCGTTCTTTTATTTAGCTACTTTAAGTTCCCTAAGTAACTGAGCAACAGGACCAGATGTACGTGGAGACGCAGTTGAAACCTGCTCCGACTCCATAGGAATGTCACAATCAGCAAGGATAGTTTGAGTGAACATATCTGCATGAGTTAAAATCTTGCCTTCTCCCAATGGTACTTCTAAAGCATCAAACACTCTAGTCAACAAGTTTCCAAAGGCTAACTGATGAGAACCTAACTTAGGATCCACAATTCGAGCAAGATGTTTGATAATCAGTGTAGGCCAATCAATGCGCTCTTTGCACTCAAGTGCATTCATAAGTCTCATGTCTCTTATGGAGGCAATTTGACGTTGGTGACCTCTCGGCAGTATCACCTTATGAACTATCTCAAAAAGAAGCTTATGCAAAGATCGCATTATTCCCTTTAAAACAGTTTGAGCCCTAGAATTGACTCGACCTTGAGAGAATTTGGCTGGCAGACTAGAATATTCATCAAAACCCCAATTGTACTCATTTATCCCCACAGATGGTATATGCAAGATTTCCCCAAGCTTGGTTGCATCAAACACAATGTCAACCCCCTTTACACTAGACGACACCACATCTCCTTCTAGGATTATCAAGTTCGTATAGAAATTGACCACTTCCTTTTCATAAATCAAACTAGGTTCTAGAAACAACTCCTCCCATCCCTGAAACCTTAGTAGTTCACAAACCTGCTTCACTATATCCATTGAAAGTATATCAGGGTGAAAGGTTCTACCCCTAAGCACTGATTTTGTTTGGATATACTTTTTCCGTCCCACTTTGAGAAATTTATCTGCATTTATTTTTGTAGATTTTGATTTTGATTGGGGAGTAGCACAGTTTTTACCCTCAGACACATCATCAGTTGCAGAATAAAGATTCATTGAAGAGACTAATGAATGAACAGGAGACTTACCCAATCAGCGACGCTTCACCCCAGATGTTGTATCATCAGCTGGCTTGACCACATGTGCACTCCTTGTCACAGACCGGTGTGGACGAACCTGTTTAACTACAATGTGCTTTCTTGGACGCCTTGGTTTTTTAAGGTGAAGGGAGCTCAAAATAATATCATCATGGATTGGGGATGGTGGTGGATGTTGAGGAGTGGTGTGGTGAGATGGGAAAGAAGGGGGATTATTTGGGACAGTGGTTGTGGGAGATTCTGGGTTTGGTGATAGTGGGGTTTCATGGACCGGTGATAATGGGGTTTCTTGGACTGGTGATAATGAGGTTTCTTGGACTGGTGATGGAGATTCGATAATGGGTGGTGGTGGGGATTCTTTAACAACAAGTGAAGATGCTGATGTAGCTTGTGGTGGCGGAGATGTATCTTTTGGTGGTGGAGATGGAGTTTTTGGTGATGGAGATGATGTTTTTGGTGGTGGAGATGGAGTTTTTGGTGGTGGAGATGGAGGCAGATCTGATTGGATGAGGATGTAGGTGTGGGTGGAAGTTGGCTTTCTTCCTCAAGATTTGGTACAACATCAACAACTGAATTCTCTTCCCCCTGAGAAAACGCACTATTAGACGAGCTTTCGTCATCAGAGTAAGAAACAAGTGGATTAACTATGGTGATGGAAGGGATTTTGTTTTCTTGTTTTGCTGAAGAATGAGGATGAGAGAAGGTTGGTTGCTTGTTTAGAGAGAGTGGTTTATTGGGAACGGTTTTGATGTTGTATTCGAGGGGGTGAGTAATTATGGGGGATAGACATCGAGGAGACGGGTGTTGTGACGGTTGCACCTGCTTTTCAGAGGAGTGACATGGGAGAGAGAAGATGAAATTGATTTCCCCCCAATTTAATTTTTTTATAAATCCCCCTTCTTTTTTTTTGTTTTTAAATCCCTTTTTTTAAATTTTTTTAATTAAAAAGAACAGTTGAAATAAAACAAAATGTAGAACCAACTTGACTGAACCTGGTTTATATCTCCTTAGAACTTGGTTGGACAGAGATCAATCCAAAAAGATGAGCCCTAACTCAAGTCTATTTTTCTGGAATGACTCTCTTCCTAGTGCCTTGGTGAAAATGTCAGCAACTTGATTCTCAGTTTTGCAGAACTCCATTACTATGTTTCCTTTTTCAACATTATCACGAAGAAAGTGATGTCTAACATCTATGTGTTTGGTGTGTTTGTGTTGAACTGGGTTTTTGGCCATGTTCATAGCACTTGTGTTATCACATAGAATAGGAATACAACCTGTTTCTATACCAAAGTCTTTAAGCTGCTACTTTATCCAAAGGAGTTGGGCACAACATGAAGCAGCTGCAACATACTTAGCCTCTGCAGTAGATAGAGCCATTGAATTTTGTTTTCTAGTTGCCCAAGATATTAAGCATGGTCCTAAAAAGTGTGTCATCCCAGAGGTACTTTTTCTATCAACCATATGTCCTGCATAATCTGCATCAGCAAATCCCTTTAGAACAAAAAAGTCACCAGTTGGATACCAGAGAACCAGGTTCATTGTGCCTTTCAAATATCTCAAGATTCTCTTGACAACTTTTAGATGTGATTCCTTTGGACAGGACTGAAACCTTGCACATATACCAACACTGAACACTATATCAGGTTTGCTGGCAGTGAGATATAGGAGTGATCCAATCATACCTCGATATCTGGTGTCGTTGACTGGTGAACCTGGTTCATCTTTATCAAGCTTTGTTGTTGTCCCAATGGGGGTGTCATTTGACTTGGATTCATTCATATCATACTTCTTCAATAATTCCTTGATGTATTTTTGTTGATGAATTGATGTTCCAACTGAAGTTTGCTTAATTTGGA